AGCCCTTTTTGCGTGGCTGGGAGGGAGGAGGGGGAGTTAGGGCGGGGACTTTGGGGAAGGGGCGGAGTTGGGCGGGGAAGGGGCAGAGGTGGGCGGGGCCGGGGGTGGGAAAGGGGTGGGGCCAGGGCCCCGTGGAGTGTCCTCTTTTTTTATTTTTTGAGTATGGTAACCCTAATTCCATCCAAGGAGTGCTTGGGTGGGTATGGGCGGTTGCAGCCTGTAGGGAGAAGGGATTTCTAGGTTAGATAGAACTTGCTATCCTAGGTCTGGAGCTGGCTCTGGGTAACCTGACTGAGGGGCCCCTGGGCCTCTTCTGAGGCTCTGAAAACAGTTCTGGTGACTTTCTCTCTTGGAAAATTCCCAGGAGCTGAATGGAAACATTCTCTAAGAATTGGCCGAGGAGCTGTGTGGAAACTTGTTCTACAGTCAGGCACCGAGTTATTTCCAGCCCTGGACACTAGGATATCGGAAGAAAAATGATGTCTTGGTAGATTATTTTCCTCCCTGGTTCTGGGTAGTCTCCGGGCCTTTGTTGTAAAGGTGAAACCCGCTTCCAGCCTCCTCCATCCGCACCGTCCATGGTGCCAAGATGAGGATGTAGTATTCTAATATCTAAACTGTATTGTTAAATCTAGTCACCTAAATGTGGGTTAGTGCTGATTCTGTACTCTATGTATCATATGACTTTTAAAAACTAACTTTATATTTGTGGATAATCTCTAAGCACTATACCCAGATGTACAGACGCTCTTTTCCCAACCTACGTATTATATATTTTTTTTAACATTAGCTTTAATAAAATTTTTAAATCTGTTCCTCTTTTCCCAGACCCTGTCTCCTGCGATGTGTCCCCTGCTTTGGGTGTACTTTCCTGGCATCTCTCCTGCCCCTGTGCAGCGTTATTGCTACTGCACTCAAACTAGGGGTGCCAGTTCCAGAAAGAACAGAAAATACCTAGGGAAAGCGTGGAAGGAGCTTTCAGGAGACAGAGGCATGCTTTTGTGGGCTGAGTTCATGAGAAGGAGATAGGACGCCTGGATTCTGTTGCTGATTCACCGTGTGACTCTGAGGAATTAATTTTTCCATTCTGTGCCTCACTTTCTCCATCTGTAGAATTATGATTCTGACTGGCCTCCCGGAGGGGTTGAGGCATAGGTGATAAATGTTTTGTTTGTAAAGTGCTTTGAGATCCTTGAATGGAAGGCACTGGGGAAAACCTGACATCCTTGATGGATGGCCAGCATTTCCTTCCTTCCTAGGAGCATTACTAATTGTTTTGGCTCTAGCAATTTGTCTCTTTATTTTTAAATTCCCCACCTGCCCCAGTGACTTAAAGCAGTTCTCGAGCCGATGAAGTGTTAAAGTAAAAAGGTGAGAATACAGTCCTGGGAAGCTCACGGAGCGGGCTGTAAGGCACAAACTGCTCCTTGGGGCAGGAATTCCTGGTATTTTTAGATCTGCCTGGAGTTTTGTTGGTATTTGGTGTGTGACAGAGGCAGGTGAGGGTGGCTGTGTCTCTGCTGCTCTTCTGTGCTGCTGGATTGTTTTAACGAGCATTTTCCTTAATTCCCGTGCTCCTGGGGGATGGCTAGGATCAGCCCAGAAAATGGTGGTTGCAGGTGATTTCCTGTTCTGAATCTTTCTTGCCTGTGTCTTACAGAACTGAAGTTCTCCTGCTCACGAGAGCCCCAGACTCATTACTAACCCACAGCTTCCTGAGTTCTTCTCTTCTTGGTGGGAAGAAATTCAACTGCCACAAATAGACAATTAGACTTAGAATCAGACTTCCTCAACACACCTTCCCCACCATAACATAGCAGACATGCACAACTCTGATTTTGAAAAGTAAATACAATGGGCCATGGTCTGCTCTCTGTTATATCTCCAGGGCTGCATGGATACCCCACCGGGGCCAGATTTGGCTCAGTCTGTGTCCGGTGGCGGCAAAGAGGAAGCATTGCCAAGTAGTTAGAGCTGTGGCAAATGGTGTCTTGTTCTTGGCTGTTGCATTGATGTGCTGTGTCCCTTTGGGCAAATCACTTCCTCTTGCTCGGCTTCAGTTTACCAGCTGCCCTGCCTCTTGGTGAAAGGGATATTTGTCATCTCTAACCAACACCAATATTTGCCAAGTTCCTGCTTCTCCTGGGTGTGAAGTAGCTCCATATCAGGTCCTAGTAGGAGGAAAAGGATGGGGAAAGTTACCCTGCTGTCCCAATGCTACTCCAAATGGATGGCTAACTCAGCGTTCTCTGACTTTCTTTTTAGGGACGCCACAGAAATATGACCCAACCTTCAAAGGTCCCATTCATGACAGGTAAGAGCAGCCGCTCAGCACCTGGCAATAGGAGTGGGGTGCTCCTCAGGCAGAGCAGAGAACACTTGTTCTCATCCGAAACTCTGCGGTGGCAATCATAAGAGTAGGTGACTGTGGAATGCTGATTGCCGCAGAGACCTTGGAGGCAGGAACCACGTCTCAGCTAGAACATGGATGTGATTGGTTTCTGCAGGGGGGTGCTGGGATGAAGCAGGGGGTCCTAGTGAGTGCTCCGGTCTCCATGCTCTTCTGGGGCTAGTGCCTGATCTTGTTCTTACTTCTCCTTCCTCCCTCAGGAGCTGCACTGACATCATCTGCTGTATCCTCCTTGTCGTCGCCATTGTTGGCTATGTCATTGTGGGAATCGTAGGTAGGGAGCATGAGGCCCTCTCTTCCTTTCTCTGGTTTTTAGGAAACAGAGTGGCATTTGTCACCCCCGACACCTCTAGACTCGGATCTTGGCGGGACAGGCCCTAAAAAGGCATTGGGGTACAACAGACACAAAGGCATTGGGGTAAAAACACCAGGTTGACAAGTGATTAAATGCTTACTGTGTTGTGATGTTACATATGTGTGTGAGGGGGGTGGCTCACAGGGCAGTACTTGGCACAGTACCCAGTGCCCAGCCACTAACAGGTGATGTTTCTGGGTAGGAGGGATGGTTCTCCTCTTGCAGGTGGAGTTGCCCCTGCTCCTCGAGGCAGGATCCCTGACTGTGACGTGGCAGGGCTTCTCCTCAGCTTTCAAGCATATGCTGCCATGGCCAGTATTACTGAAGCAAGTTTATTGTCCAAACCAACAAAACCAGTTCCTCAGCTCACCTCTGTCCTAGTGTTTTGTGGCCTCTCCTTCTAGGGGTTTCTGGTAATCCTGCTTCCTACAGCTTCCTGGTTTCACCCAGCTTCCCTTCTTCTGGAACGCTGGCACCGGGGTTATCTCCTTGAGCACCTGGGCCCTTGTTCCAGGGATCCATCCCCAGGGTTAGCTCCACTCGTCTGTGGCTTCTGTCCTCAGGAACAACCTGCCCCAGTCACTCCTCTGCCTGTCCTCTGACAGGCCTTCCTAGCCCCACATGGAGCCCTATCCCCTTGAATGGGCTCGACTGGGCCCACCTACTCTGGCACAAGGGAGCCAGACCTGGTCTGTTCACAGGGCCCAGCCACCCTGGGACAATCCCTTTAGCTCCTCAGCAGCTGAAAACTCATGGGGGCAGGCTGTCATTTCATGCACTACCTCCGTTTTCTGTCTGCTCCTGTTTCAAAGGGAGGCTGAAAGAGGCTGGTCCATGTATCCACAGCCATGTCAGATCAGCACAGAGGAGAACTCTGGGTGGGGCTACCCATTATGAGGCTGCCCCATTGATTTGTTTGGGGAGGAGGGTGTTTATACGCGCTCACTTGCTAACCGGGGGAGGCCCTTGGCCAATGGTTGACTCAGCAAGTTCATACAGCAGGTGAGGTGGGAGAAGGGAATGAAGGTTGCCTGGTTAATCGTAGCCCTTTTTTTCTCCCACTCAGCATGGACACACGGTGACCCCAGGAAGGTGATTTACCCTACAGACAGTCGCGGGCAGTTCTGTGGCCAGCTGGGAACTCCCAATGAGTATGTGTCTGAGATCTCTCTCCCTTTAAAAGACGGCAAGGGAAGCTGGTTTGCCGTTACATGGGAACACTGAGTAACGTCCTGTCTTTGCTCCATAACACCTCTAGAAGCAATATAGCCTCAAAATACTACAACCTTCATTTCGTGGCTCCCTACAACTCCATTCAACTGTATCTCCTCCCCTCCCCTGGCTGCTAGGAAGGGGGAGATTTGCCCCTTTCCCTCTGTCCCCCCAACCCCAAGCTCCTGTGAGGTATAAAGCGGGACACCAACAATCCTATCTGTTTGCTCAGTGCTACCTTCCGTTTTTCGGCTGTGTGAGAACCACCCCCTCCACTGGCCGCTGCCTGAGACTAGGCAAAGCAAGAAGAGCAGAGACTACTAGAGCTGCAGATAGAGGCTATGGACCCAGGCTGAGCAACACATCCTTTTAGGCTCTATTCACACCCAAGTGTGGGTCATTATGATTTTCCAAGTGGCAGCTCCAGTTCTAATCAGCCAGGAAGTGTATTGCTGCGATTCTCTCATCCCAAGAGATGAACCTCTTGACAGGGAGCCAGATACAAGAGCAGGATTGGAACTAGGTTCTCCAGCCTGGGGAGACAGAGCATTTGACGTTAGGTTCCTGCTCCAGCTCTTCGGCCTGTAAAAAGGGAAGCAGTATAAATGTTTCAAAAGCACTCAACTGTCTTGGGCCTGGTCTACACTAGGACTTTAATTCGGATTTAGCTGCCTTAATCCGAATTAACCCTTCACCCGTCCACACTACAGAGCCAGTTAATTCGAATTAAAGGGCCCTTTAAATCGATTTCTGTACTCCACCTCGACGAACGGAGTAGAGCCTAAATCGATTTTGTTAATTCGAATTAGGCTTAGTGTGGACGCACACCACCGAATTACTGTGTTTAAGTTAATGGGGTAGTGTGGCCGCACACCACCGAATTAATGTGGTTAAAAACCGAATTAAGGTGTTTAGTGTGGCCGCGCACAATCGAATTTATACAACCTGTTTCCCAAATTCGAATTATCTAAATTCGGATTAATCCTGTAGTGTAGACATACCCTTGGTTGTGGAAGGACAGTGTGACTTCTCCAGTGCAGTCGGATGGGCAAGGCAGCGCAGGGTCTCACTTCAGGCCTGGAGTAGAATAGGTGGTGCGGGAGGTTCCTGGGTCCCATGTTCCCCTCTTGGACAGGAGATTCCAGAAATTGCGATGTCATCTTGTTTGCAGGAACAAGCCTTTCCTGTTTTACTTCAACATCATCAAGTGCGCCAGCCCCTTGGTGCTGCTGGAGTTCCAGTGTCCGACCAAACAGGTAACACAGCTCTCCGCAGCTTCTCATGCTCCCAAACACCTCTCGTTGCTGCTTCTCTTGGGGCTCCGACCCCTGCTTTGTTCTCATTTGGAAGGTTTTAAATAAGAGCTTTGCAGTGTCCCACATGCTATTCTTAGCAAATGTCCTTGCAGATAACACGCAGACCCCGCCCAAGGAGCAGGGGGTGTTGTTTTCCAGTCAGCCATGAGTGAATCCTGTAACTGGGTGGGCACTGGGTATGGAGCCAAATACATAGAGCACGTCTCCCAGTGTTTGTCTCTCACAGGGTTTCGGGAGAGAGGAGCTACTTGGTGCGGTATGCCCTCTCTTGGTTGTGCCTGGGCATTGCAATAACAACTGAGAGCCTGACCAGAGAAAGGTGCAGGAACAGGAGAAAAATGAGTGGCTTCTGCTGGTGATTTGCTTTGAGTTTTATGGCACGATGGGCAAGAGTTGAACTGTAGGCTGAGACTGAACGGACAGGATGCTGGCTAGCAGACTGCTGCCCCTCACCCAAGAGGGAGCAGTGACCTGGTGTCTGTCTCATCCGCTCCTCTCTGATTAGTAATGATACTTAGATCTTATATAGCCCCACTCGGTTCTTTCAGTCTTAAGTACTGTGCATGTCTTTCAGATCTGTGTGAATAAGTGCCCAGACCAGTATCTCACGTACCAGAATGCCAGGAGACAAACCAAAGACTTTGATTACTACAAGCAGTTCTGCGTCCCAGGGTTTAACAATCCGCAGAAGGTGAGTTGTATTAAAGGAATGGGATGTATTTTAGAAGTAAACTATTCAAAACTGGTCCCAGTATGGTGCCATTCTGCACTCTTCTTTCTCTGATGTTAACCTGATGCTTGCATGTTTCTCCAGAGGAAGAGTGAATGGTGTAGAAATTTTCAGGCTGAGAATTTCATTTAAACATGTCTCTCTCTCTCTCTCTCTCTCTCTCTCTCTCTCTCTCTTCTAGAGCCTCCCAAAAGTGCTGGCGGATGGAGACTGTCCGTCCATGATCACTCCCAGCAAACCCTGTAAGTCTGACTGGGGAACAGAGGAAAAGAGGCTGGGAAGGGTCCTGGGAACTGAATACGGCTAGTGTTTAAGTTCAGACAGGGTTTGTTGCCTCTGGTGCAACAGCATGTGAGGGCAATGTACATCCAAGATAGCTTTGCACACAGGTGTGTTACTACCAGCTGGTCTCCATGTGTCTGTGTCCCCCTAACTAGGATTCACTCCAGTTCATTCCCTTGCAGGTTGCTTGGAAGAGACCTGCAAATACAAGGGTACAGGTTCCTTCCCCCAGTGGCACATCCAACCAGCTGCGACAGGGTATTGGAGACGGCAGTGACTGAGCAAAACCCCCATTAAATTGCTGGATAAGAGCAGGAGCAGACCAGCTGCTGGGTTTGGGAGTGCAGTATGGTGATGAGAGCAAGGGAACCAGCCAGGTTCTAAACCCAGCTCTGCTGCTGATCTGATGTGGAACTATGGCAGAGTTCCTGCCCTAATCTGTGCCTCAGTTTCCATATATGTGTAAAATGGGGATAGTGGTATTGACACTTGTGTAAAGCACTTCCTGTTGGCCTTTACCTGAGGGTACTGGATTTTCCTGATGAGGCAAGTGGCGATTAGACTGCTTTGCTCTCCAAAGTTCACCTGTGCCTTGTGTGCTTCATCCCTCAGTGGCACGCAGGTGTTTACCAGCAATCAACACCAAGAAAGGGGTCATCATGGTTGGGAACGACACAACCTTTGAAGATGGAATGGGAAAACGAAGGAACGTGACAGAGCTGGTGGAGGGGGCCAAGTGAGTTCTGAGCCTCATCTCTGAGGCGAGGTATCCTGGGTGCCTCTGGGCTTGTCTTCGCTAGGAAAATTGGTCATGTTAGAACATGACCAGAAGGCATCATGGTAAATAATTTGTCAGTGAAATACTGCTTATTTACTTGTGTTGTGGTAGCACTGAAGAGCCCTAGTCCTGGACCAGGAACCCACTGTGGTAGGCTCTGTGCAAACACAGAACAGAGGGTCCCTGGCCTAAAGAGCTTACAGTCCAAGTCTAAAGACCAGACACAGGTGGAGACAGACAGCTGGGTGAGTACGGGCACAACAACCGCCCAGTCACTAACAAAATGTTTGTAGGCATCACAGCGGAGTTCTAAAAAGGTATCTGAAGGAAGACAATGAGGTAGCTTTGCGGATGTTCAGTGAGAACAATTCTTATCCTGGCACCAACAGGGCCTTGGTCGACCTATAAAGAGTGCAGGGTTGATCAGAAACTGACATGCCTCTCTTCCACCCCCACCCCCCACAACTCCCTGCTGTTTTTAATTCCAGAAAAGCAAATGTGGTTCTGGAAGCAAGACAACTGGCCATGAAGATCTTTGAAGATTACACAGTTTCCTGGTACTGGATAATAATGTAAGCAGAGACCTGAATGGCTGAGCTAATGCATACAAAGAGCATGATGTCCGACCCCCTTCCAGACAGAGCTGTATGGGAACGGAGCCAGGGAGCCGCTAGTACTTAATGGGTGCAGAGTCTGGCAGAACATGTGCTGTCTGAGAACAGTGCGGCATTTGAATGAACGTGTATCAAAGCTTGCTGGTTATGGAAGCTGTAGAGTTTTTCTATCCCCTGTGTAATGAGGTTGTGGTGGGGATTTTTCCACTCCACTTTGCTGATGGTAAAAAGGTGGTAGTGGAACTATGTTGAAATAAAGGAGTTTAGAGAGACTGGCTGGTTTGGGATCTGAATGGACTCCAGAGTTTGTTTTTCTGTATTTGTTGGTTTCCGCCCCCACCCCCGATTCTAATCCACCACCAATGTGGCAGTGGCTGAGTCATTCACCTCTGACAGTTGGGCATCTTGTATGCAATGAGTTTGGTGGGTCTCGGTCCAGTTCTTAGCAGAACACGTGTAGCCAGGACTAACTGCCCCCATTGTTGGTAGCCCCCATCTAGAGACCAAGGATTTGAACAGGCATTGGGGACTGACCTCTTCCCCCCGCTCCTCCAGGAATGAGAGACACAGAGAAGGCAGTTTAGGGGAAAGTTTGCTCTGAAGCTGCTTGTGTTGCATCTACTCTGGGGACAGAGGACTTCCATCAGTAAGCCTGCCAATTTAGCACCTTCTGCTGCTGTTAAAGTTCACAGGAAAAAACAAGAGACTAAATCAGTTAATGGAACAAAGCTGCAGGGCACAGAAAATGGGAAGCTCTGACGCGGGCTTGTTTCTGTGTGTGGTTCTGTGCTCACGAACTTGCCTCTCTCCCCTCCATAGAGGTCTCGTGATTGCCATGGTGTTCAGCTTAATCTTCGTTGTCCTGCTTCGCTTCCTTGCTGCGATCATGATCTGGGTGATGATTGTGCTGGTAATCTTGGTGCTGGGATACGGTGAGTGGCAGTCGAGCCCAGGGTCTCTGACGTGAGGCTGGCTCCAGGGACTCTCTTCGCATTCACCCTGCAGAACTATCTGAGATTGGTTTAGTGACTTAGCCCGTCAGTCTGTGTTCTAGTCTGTTCTGTTTCGCTGTGATACTGCAGTAGGGTTGCAGGGCTCTTCTGCCTAAAGACGCAGTTATTTCCACTGACTTATGCTAGCAGGTGGACCCTATTATTTCCAACCCAGGATACAAGAGGGGATGGGAATATCCCTCTCTGAGGCAGAGGGACAGGGAGTTTTGCAAGGAAAAGCTGAGGAACAGCCAACCTTAGTCAGAAGTTTGTTTACATTAACAATAAAAATTAAGTAAGCTCCAAGAAGGAGGCAAGTTTGGACCCTATCCAGCATGTACGTTTTGTGTAGACCAGGGTGGGAACACACATGAACATCTGCTGGGGGGCGGGGAGACCTGACTAAACTGGCTGACATCTTTTGGTCTGTCGCTTAACCCTAGTTTGTATGGGGCTGGGGCCAAAGCCCTCTCCAGTTATCAGTCGTCTCTTTGCCTGGAGCTCCCCTGAATGCTTAGAGAGCAGTTGCTCCTGTAGATATGCATTGACTGAAGCCTCCTCATTCTTGCGTCTCAGAGAGCTGACAGATCCTCCCCACAGTCTCCTTTTAAAGATAGTTCCCGCTGGGTAGCAGATACTCTGAGCATGAGGTTAATCAGAGGCTGCTAACAGTTTCACTCTAAGGCAGTCAAATCTCTGCTTTCCACTGCAGGAATCGTCCACTGTTACATGGAATATGCCCGACTAAAAGGAGAAGATGGCTCTGATGTTTCCCTGAAGGACCTGGGATTCCAGACGGATCTTCGTGTCTATCTCCACCTGAAGCAAACGTGGTTGGCCTTCAGTAAGTCTCTCTTCTGCTCTACGTGGCCTAGTGCAATGCAAACAAACATGGGGCTGTGGGACAACAAGCACTCCTGTATGCTGATCTCTTGCGCTCGTTTGCTTGGAGGAAGAGGCTAGAAAGTAAGACATCATGAGGGTTTTAGGTCCTGCTGTCCTGCAAGAACAGGAGATGGTGGTCTACAGATGCACAGCAAAAACCCACATACCTCTATATGTGATGTCCCAATCAGGGGACTGTGTTCATGGCTGCATTCGACAGGCAGAAATGCCTGGCTGGGGTGGATGTGAATTTCAGTGCCGGACTGACTGCTCCTGGAGACAGGAATCCTCAATCTCCATAACAGGCCCACCAGCATGGGCAGTGGTAGGACATTTGTCTTTTTCCTAAGCTCCTCTGGGGATGTGAAGGGAAGAGAGTTCATCCTCCGTGGCCCTTCAGTCCTCTGACTTTCTGCTGAGGCGGCCGAGAAGGCCGCCAGTTTTTGTCCCTCTTGCAACCTGGATGCCTGGGAACTGGAGAGAAGGGAGAACTCCTTCAGAAACCAACATCTAAGGAGGACAATGACATCGCACAACTGCCTGGTCAATTATTTGGAAAAAAATGTAGACCGTCCCCTACAGAGGATATCTATGCTCATAGCCTCTAGAGAGTTTAAACCCAGGTGTATCAGTGATAATGCTAACCCAAAGTTGGTGGGTTTCCTTAGGACGCTGTGGAAGAAGAGGTGGTCTCTTCAAGGTGTGCTGCTCTCATATCTAGGGGCCAGCATTGTAGGATCCTACTACAAAGAAACCGCACGCATCCAGAGCTCTGATCATGGTACGACTCCAGTTTTCCCCTCTCTCTTTCAGTGATTATCCTGTGCATCATGGAGGTGATCATCATCCTGTTACTCATCTTCCTCCGCAAGAGGATCCTCATTGCCATTGCGCTCATCAAGGAAGCCAGCAGGTGAGCTTCGGGTGGACTGCAGCAGCCACATGCAATAGTGGGGAGTGCTGTGCTCACTTGGGGGGAGTGGTGAGGACCAACTCCTGCTGGGTCTAACACTGAAGCCAAGTCTCCCCCTCTGGCCCATGATAGAGATGGCTGCGCAGTGGCGATTCCAAACCTGTGGTGGGAGGTTTGGGGTCTATGCAAAGCAAGCTGCTGTCTGTGGATGGTTTCTCCTCCCCCTGTTTGGATTTCCCTTGCAATGGAAGGGTTTTTGTTGTTTTTACTGACTCTCTCTTCCCTGGCAGGGCTATTGGTTATATCATGACGTCGCTGGTGTTTCCTCTGTGCACCTTCTTCCTGGTGTGTCTCTGCATTGCTTACTGGGCCAGCACCGCTGTGTATCCTTCCATTTTCCTCTCTCCTCCACCCACAAAGAACCCCTGGTGTGGTGGGGGCAGAAATCTCACATCCCTCAGAAGGCTAGAAATGTTGTGGGATTATTTACTTACATGTATCCAGTATCATGATCAAATTAAAAAAAAAAGTGATTAACAGGATGGTAAGAGCAGGTCTGTATGGGACAGATAGAGAATTGGGTCCAGTCTCATAAAGTTGAATCCCCTTAACTGCTTCTTCCCAGTTTCTTATCTACTTCTAATGATGCTGTCTACAAGGTGTTTAACGATACGTCTGAATGTGATTATGCTGGGCAGACCTGCATACCAGAGGTGAGGGGCTCTCTGAATAGTCACAACTGAACATGTTAACACCTATTAAGCAAACATGATTCTGGGATGTATTAACAGGTGTGTTGTGAGCAAGACACGAGAAGTCATTCTTCCGCTCTACTCTGCACTGGTTAGGCCTCAGCTGGAGTATTGTGTCCAGTTCTGGGCACCGCATTTCAAGAAAGATGTGGAGAAATTGGAGAGGGCCCAGAGAAGAGGAACAAGAATGATTAAAGGTCTTGAGAACATGACCTATGAAGGAAGGCTGAAAGAATTGGGTTTGTTTAGTTTGGAAAAGAGAAGACTGAGAGGGGACATGATAGCAGTTTTCAGGTATCTAAAAGGGTGTCATAAGGAGGAGGGAGAAAACTTGTTCACCTTAGCCTCTAAGGATAGAACAAGAAGCAATGGGCTTAAACTGCAGCAAGGGAGGTTTAGGTTGGACATTAGGAAAAAGTTCCTAACTGTCAGGGTGGTTAAACACTGGAATAAATTGCCTAGGGAGGTTGTGGAATCTCCATCTCTGGAGATATTTAAGAGTAGGTTAGATAAATGTCTATCAGGGATGGTCTAGACAGTATTTGGTCCTGCCATGAGGGCAGGGGACTGGACTCGATGACCTCTCGAGGTCCCTTCCAGTCCTAGAATCTATGAATCTATGTTGGACTTAATAAGATTAGTCTCTTGAGCAGACATATTGTGCAAAAGCCAATTTGGCGGCTACTTGTAGCCTCCATCCCTGGAGTACCATATGGCTCCCATTTGCTGTGACAGTCTCTCGGGCTAGCTAAACTATACCCTCCCCACCCTTTGTTCATGTTTACACTCTTCATATCTGTTGATTGCTCTCCTCCCCCTCATAATCCTCCTTTAACCACTGTATATACTTGACCCTCTCCACCTCCAAGCCCCTCTTGAGGGTGGGAAATATATATTCCCATTTTCCAGAGGAGAAACTGAGGCACATACTTGGCTGAGGTTGCAAAGGAAGTCCTGTGTCTGAGTGAGAATTAGAACTTGGGAGTTCCTGACTCCCCGCCCTGAGTTTAGTTCATGCCTTTACCCCTCATCTTTGTGATGTTGAGGCACTTGAGATCTTCACAGTACTCTCAGGGGCTCAGTGAGTAGTGTGTAGACAAGTTCTTTTACCCATCTGAAATGAAACTGCTTCTGGGGTTGAACGTGGTGTATGAGAAGTGAAGAATAATTTCCTGGACTCAAACTCCAGAAGTGGCTTTTGGGTTGGCATGAACTACTGTCTATCTAGGTTCTTGTATGGTCCTCATCTCTGCAATATCTGAGCATCTCTAATTCTCTCTAGACATTCAATATGACCAACATCACCAAGAAGTGCCCAGATGCCCGCTGCCTCTTCACGTTCTATGGGGGCGTGACGGCCTACCACAAATACCTCATCGTCTTCCAGATCTATAATGCCTTTATGTTCTTCTGGCTGGCCAACTTTGTGATTGCGCTGGGCCAGGTCACGCTAGCCGGAGCCTTTGCTTCCTACTATTGGGCCTTCAAGAAACCCGATGACATGCCAGCTTTCCCCCTCTTCTCTTCCTTTGGCCGGGCACTCAGGTGAGCACTGAAGCTTTTCCAAAGAGAGGTTTGGGTTTTCTTGTTGGCTACAGGAGAAATAACTTAAAAGCAAAAATGCCAAGAAGCTGCATCTTACAGAGGTCCTCTCCTCCTCTTCCCCGTGGCAGGTATCACACTGGCTCGATGGCCTTTGGGTCTCTGATTCTTGCCATTGTCCAGATCATCAGGGTCCTTCTGGAGTATCTGGATCACAGGCTGAAAGGTACCTAGTTGAGGATAATTGGGAAAGGGCAGGTGGGGGACAAACAAGGTGAGCAAAGTTTCTCCATGTCGAGTCACAACTCAGAATAACTTGGTCCGTGTAAGTAGATGGTGTTCCTGCCCTACTTCAAACTTGCCCTTTTCCTTTACCTTTGTATCTTATTACTGAATTTAAACATAGGTACTACTCTGTGCTTCCTTCTGAGCCTAGCTGTTCCTAAAGGCTTTCTCTGTCAGACCCCCTCTTCTCTGGATTTTTCTGCCTTTGTGGGCAGAGAGACCTTACATACTCCTCTTGGGTAGGCATTAACCCACTTGGTCTGATTGGCAGTGAGTCAGTAGAATGGCTCTGTACTTCTGTGCAGAATTGCACTTGACACCCTGTTATAGTCCTGGTCTGACCAAATGACTTCAGTGATTGTGAAATGTGAGCTTTGAATTAAAGCGCAAGAGCGACACGTGAGACCTTTCTCCCGGTACGATTCTCCAGAGCACCCTCTCTGTCCACAGGAGTAGTACAGTCCAGTGGGTAGGGTTCTCACTCCAGACGAGAATACTAAAATCCCAGTGCTTCCGCTGGCGTGATGGCTGTGGCTAACTGGAATACCCAACCTAAAACTGACATGGGATGCTCAGGATGAAGTGAGGGACTGCTGCTTGCTTCTTCTCTGAGGACACTTGTGATTGTGGATGGCTAAAAAAGAAAATTGGTTTATGTTTCCTGAAAGTATCTGTGCAAGAGAAGGTAGCTGCCAGCTACATCTGTCAAAGTGATGGTGCTGTGACATAGGGTTAAGCTGAAAGGAGCAAAGAGAAATGTCTGGAGAACAGATATGGGTGGGAACTGTGCACAGGATGGGGGTTGGAAGGGTGTGTTGCAGGGAGCGAGGTGTCTGGTGCTGAGATTTTTGATACTTGAAGAGTTGCTGTTTCAAAGAATAACTCTCTTCTGCTCCACACTCTTTCCACTGTGTCTCGTGTGCTTTTAGCTGCTGAGAATAAGTTTGCCAAGTTCCTGCTGACCTGTCTCAAATGCTGCTTCTGGTGCCTGGAAAAATTTATCAAGTTCCTGAACAGGAACGCATACATCATGGTGAGGACCCCAGTTTAAGAATGCCACCAAACATCCAGTGAATAGGGAAGGTCACAGTAGATTTGGAGATTCTCCAAAAGGGACTGTTTCTGAACACTCCTTCCCACCCCATCAATGGTTGGCTTCCCCTAGCTCCATGAAGATCTCATTTAGGTCTTAAGAGGCATTGGCTGTCTTACGTGAGTGACCCAACATCCAGCAGTGTCCACAAGATCAGCAGATCAGATCTGCCCTGTGTACTAGTGAGAGATGGCACAGGCTTCAAACAGAATGGCCGCTTGGCACATTCTGCCCTGGCAGTGTGGTGAAAGGGCGGAGGGGCGGGGGGTCTCTTTACCCTAATGCGGCTCTGAATGACTAATCTGTACAGCGACAGTTTGGTGACAATCTTTAGGCTTCAGGACAAAATCTTCTGGAAAAGGCCATGACTCCTACTGAGTAACCTCATTTCTTCTCTGTGTCCTTCTTTGTGATCCGTCCCAGATTGCCATCTATGGCACCAACTTCTGCACTTCAGCCAAGAATGCATTCTTCCTGCTCATGAGGAACATTATCAGGTAAGAACCTGGAAACTGGTGGGATCCTCCCTCCTCCAAGACTACCCAACGAGGAAATGGCTCCTCTTCCCCAGGGCTACTATTTACCAGGCTTGGCCAGGGTAGCTGACTGAGGGCATGACGTGGGTACAGCCAAATCCATGAAAGTAGCTTGGGATGCCTTGCCACGGATAGAGAGGTGACCACAGATAGATAGGTGACCTGTGGAAGAAGGTGTGTTGGGAATGGAGAATAAGAGGCAGTAGCTAGAGGTAAGAGGACAGGGAGATATTCTAGTCCCACTTGGAAGTAGCCTCTCTGGGGATATGTAAAGGTGGCTTTTGTATCTGAAACCATTTCAGAGGCCTGTGTGAACAACTGACTCTCACTGTGGATATCCAAGGTCTGTTTATCTGCCAGATATCAGGTGGGAACTGCAAATTGGCTCTAGGTTTGCACAAACCATTGTGTTTTTAGCCCCTTAGCAACTCTTATCCTGGGTTGTCTTTATCACAGAGGAGCCTGGATGCACGTTGCCTCTTTTTCTCCTCCCATCCTGGAGGGTACGGAAAGACATTCACATCTCTCTGTTTTCAGGGTGGCTGTTTTAGATAAAGTCACAGATTTTCTGCTCTTCCTTGGTAAACTCCTCATCGTGGGAAGTGTTGGTAAGTTTGCGATCCCAGTCCTCTTCCAGGGCTTACTTCGGTTAAGCCCCTCCGCCAAACCCTGTGTTTGTAGAGACTGGCGAAAGCTGCATGTCCTTGCATCTTCTCAATTCCTTGCAAATCTCCCCAGCCATTCCAGGAACCAACTTCCTTTCCATAATCCCCCTACTAAGTCTCTAAATTCAACTTCCTCCTCCCTCGTCAGCCCCCCCTAATGTTGCCCTTTCTTGCTTGTGACTAGTGCATCTCACAAACATCTGTATTTTTATTTTCTCCTCTCTAGGAATCCTCGCCTTTTTCTTCTTCACTCAGCGGATAGACGTGGTTCGGGACACTGCACCTCCTCTCAATTACTATTGGGTTCCTATCCTGGTGGGTATCTTACTTGCCTTACAATGAATTTAGGGACGTTAGCCTTTCTCCGGAACATATGCAGCTTGAGCAGAGAAAGCTTCCTCCACTCACTGTCCTCCAGGAGTCCCTCTTTGTAAAGGAAGGAGAGCTCATTCTCAGTTTCCCATTCAAACCATGGCTTCTCTGCGGAGTCAGCCAATTAATGCAGAAGCACATCTCCCCATGGGCACTTCCAGGCAGCTGCACTGAGCCAAGCCTGGCCAGCTTCCATTCGCTGGTGCTACTGTGCCTGAATCAGGTTGGACAGGGCCATTTCTTTTCCTATGGAAACGGAAGGGGGAACTGTGAGTGGAGTTCAGCAGGTCTTTTCTCTCTTTCAAGGGACCTTCTGCAGCGTCTTGCTCTCCATACTGGTATCAGGTTATAGATTTCAAGACCAGAAGGGATCATTGTGATCATCTAGTCTGACCTCCTAACACAGGGCAGAGAACTGCCCCAAAATAATTAGGTTCAGCATTGAGATGACAACCCGGTTTCTCTTACAGACTGTGATCATGGGCTCCTATCTCATTGCACATGGATTCTTCAGCGTCTATGCCATGTGTGTGGACACCCTCTTCCTCTGCTTCTGTAAGTAACTGGGCCGCATGGGTTTTGGTGCTCAGTTGAGTATTACTTTGTGGCTACACCTCTGTCACCCCAGAGGGCTGGCCTGTGGAACTGTTCTGTTGTGTTTGGCTCATGCAGCCTTTCTTTGACTACTTGTCACTTCATAGTTTGCTTCTGCTCTACTGAACTACTTCCACCGACATGGCTTCTGCTTATAAAAGAGGGCAGCACACCACAAAGGGATGCTCCAATCTCCATCCTCCCCGTTCCCAGGAACTGAGGTGTCATACTTTTTTCCTTAGTCTAGGGCTTCCCCATACTTCTCGTTGCCATTAAAGGCTGTTATGGGCCTTGGCAAACCTCCAGCTTTCCTCTGCATTACAGCTCCATTAATCTCAAACGCTGCCTCTTGTGCATGGGCTGCAATGGGAAGGATGTGCCCAGGGCTTAGAGCACTTGGGCAAATCTTTCAAAAATGCCAAAGGATTTAGAAGTACAAGTCTTCAAAATCTCCCCCTAAGAGCTGCGTACAAAAACGTGCATGCACTAACTCGGCATCAGTGATTTAAAACCCTGAATAAAATGAGATGATGGAAGAACCCCTGAAAGCTAACTCCTTCTATCATTTCTAAAACTGTGAAGTTCTCTTCTGCCTCTCCCTGTTCACCACCTCCATCACCACTCTAACAAGCAGCTCCTGTACACCATGCTTGGTAGCAATAGAAATTTGTAGCTCAAAATTAGACTCTTTGTAATCTGTTTTAGTCTCTCTAAGTTTCTTGGTGCTTTGATCTCGGTGGTGGAATCTAATTGCAACTAACGTCAGTTTTTCCTTTTTTTTTTTTTTTTTTGTAGATAATACCCTCTGTTTTTGCTGTGCTGCTCCCCTTGCTCCTCCACTGCTTCTCATTCCTCCTTTCCGTGGCCACTTCCTTCATCTTCCTGGGGTTGTGAAAAGGTGAAGACCTGGAGAGGAATGATGGATCTCCTGAGCGACCTTACTACATGTCCCCAGAGCTGAGTGAAATCCTGCTGAAGGGCAGCCTAGAATCATCCAAAAGTGCTGATAGCCAAGGATAGTGCTCAACTTTCTGAGCAGGATGGGCTAAGCACATGTGGGTGTCTTGTAGAAGACTTGTGCTCACCCAGTCAATCTGTAATTGTGTGGTATTCTTCCAAGACTCCACCCTGGTGGTGCATGATTTTCAGCTGGTTGTCCTGGGAATTCTTGAGGGTAGAGGTGGTGTTGATTTTGGAAGGACAGTGCAAGTGGGTGAATGCTGTATCAAATCCATGTTCCTTCCCCCAACTGATATTCTTGTACCAAAATGGGTGGAACTGTAATTGGGACTCTTGTGCATTTGACATAATCATCTTCTAGAATGAAGCTTGAGTCCCACCTGTCCATTGATGCATGATACATTTTGCTAACCTAAGCAACAAGACTCTGCCTCCACAGAAGCCAAAGTTGGGTTTATATATACACAGGATAGTGTATATCTCACTCATTTAAAAAAATTACCTTGCATCCTCTTCTACTCTCAATTGCCTATAATGAAAGGGGCATTGTAGCTACTTCTGGAATGTCCCTTAAAAGTTGACTGACTTTTGCTCTGTCCCGTTCTATGTTCTATTTGTGGGGGAGCTGTTTCTCTTTGCAGTTGGTGAGATGCTAATTTGTAGAATGATCAAGAGGTTTACAGCTGCCCATATGTCAATCTGTTCTGGATGCAACTGTATTTTCCTCAGCCCCTAGCTAGCTGCAAAGAGAAATTAACCACTTTTCTCACTACTATTTCTATGCAAAATGCAGCTGGCAGATCTGAAGTTTTCTTTACTAGGTGACATATGCTTCACTTTCAAATCTGTTGTGTCCACGAGGGTCCTGGAAACCTGTGTGTCCCAAAATGGAATTCTCTCTGTTTAAAGTAGGAAACTTGTAGTTGCTGTTTTCTGAGAGAGGTTATTTTTGGGGGATGAACACGTTGGCAGGAATTTTTTTAATACAATTTTTTTTAAGTTGAAAAATGTAATTGATCTTTTCACTTGTATGTACAGCTTGACTTGTATAGAATTCTTTCAGTCTGTCTCCCACTTCCTGGTTGGCTACTCACTTAACTAGTAACTAAACGGAAGATGGCGGATCTTTGTGGTAACCGGCTTACAGAACTCTGCTCATTCCTGAGGTAGTTCAGATGATGATTGTCCCATTTTTCCATGAGAAAGATAGATGGAGGGGGTGAAGCAGCTTTCCAGGGTTATAGCCTCCAGGTGTTTCAAATAAGATCCTGGCAGCTTCTTAGCTCACAGCCCAGTGCAGTCAGGACAGTTGGGTAGAAAATAACTGAAGCTGAGCTACATAGAACAGAAAGGGACTCCCTAAATAGCGACTATGACTTCCCTTTAGCCACTAGACCATCCATCAAATCTAGATGCCACAAGAATCTGGGATTATGTACCCAGTGTTAATGACTGGAAAAGCAAGAGAAAATGGCAGATATTACATTTGGAGGTGTTGCAGCATGATGGTGAACAGAAACAGTACAACTGAATCTAGAGAGGTTTGACGGATGGCCAGTTTTTAAAGTTTTCGGCATCTAAAACATATGCCCGCAAACACCCGATGGATCTTCACCTTATTTTCTCCTTACTATATTAAGGACCAGAAGGATGTTGTGTGGGGTTTGTTGTCTTATTTTGATTGATTGATTTAGGAAGAGTCTCTTCCTTGAGGACTCAATTCTGCGAACACTGCCAAATCTTGCATTACAAATTCCCATCCAAATAAGGTTCCCATATTTTGAGTCTTATCCTTTTAGGAAAAAGTTGCTGGGTGTCGATGCCCGTGCCCTCATCACTATACCATCAACCTCAAACTATTCCAGGACTGTTTCACTAAGCCATGAAGCTGATGGTCTCTGTGATTTTGGCTGCTATTCTCCGATGGCTTTTGCTGGAGCTGCTGCTCTGCCTTGAACAGCTAGCATCTGAACAATATATTCTGTGCCAGGGACATGCCTAATTATGATGGATGTACTGTATGTTGACAAGGGTGTTGTACACTAGGTGAACTGTGCCAAACAAATAACAAGTGACTTGCTTTACAGTCAAGTCATGAGCAGTTACACTATACTGAAGAACAACGAGTGAGCATTGTCTTGCCACACTATCCCCAAGTAATGGTAATCTCTGTATTTCCAGGCAATGGTAGTATTGAGCAACCTGTTCTGTTCATATAGGAGGAGCCCCTGTCTTAGCTGATTTGTAACCTAACACTTTAGCCCCCCTGCTTCTTCCAAATAGATGTTGATAAACAGCCTCCCTTCAGGAGTCCAATACTCTGTCTTGAAAATGGGAGTGGTACAAGTGTAATTGTGACTTTTACATTTGGAAGCTGCATACATCAAGGGCTTTAGAAGAAACAGAGAATACACATACATGCACTGCCTGTGAGAAGCAGAAGGGCATCCACATCTCAACTGGGTATTTAACGGATGATTACATCTGCTCTTTTAGCACTTGTCTGTCTCTAGACTTCTTAACTGCACCTTCTATGACCATCATAGGGACCACAGCAACTTTCCCCAGCATCCAACTCAGTCTGAATCATGGAAAGGTTGTGCATGTAGATGTGAGAGCACGTGCTGTTTAAATGTCACTGAAAACAAATGTATCCCTCCGGGGCTTGGCATGCCCAGTAACTGGTTCTAGTTTGAGGTGTTTACAACCCTGCAGTACTTAAGCTCTGTATTTTAACCTCCCCTCCCTCCCCCCTGCAGTGGAAGACCTGGAACGTAACGATGGTTCATCTGAAAAGCCTTACTTCATGTCGTCTGACCTGAAAAAACTTCTGAACAAGACAAACAAAGGTCACTCGGATGCATAGCAGCCTCCTCTTTCCTCACTGCTCTCTTCACTTCTATTTGTCCCTTCCCAGTTTCCATTTCAGGAGCAAAGCTGCATGGATAACATACAGCATTAAGTGCTATTAGTCCAATATGCAAACCTTGCTAGTACTTTGTGAACTGCAGTATCCTTTACTCAAATTAAGATGGACGGCTTTGGCTGTCAGCCTCTGCATTGGCCACAAGCTTGTCCAGAGCAGTGGAAATTGTTTCTGGAGAGCATTTTTCTGGATTTTCCTTCCTCAGATAGAGAGAAGGGATTAGTGTCAATAGTTCTACGTAAGATTGTTAGGCATTGCTAAGTAAAAACTGAGGCCACTGCCCTAGTGGACAGGTATGCACTACTGCAGAACTCAGCACTACTGGGACTTTGTTGGTCTCAGGAGAGAGATGAAGAAATAATTGGTCAGTTTACAGCTGAGGCCCACTGATGTAAGGTTAACTTGCCCTGCCTTTGTCCATCTCCATCTATTTCAGAGACTGAATTCAGTCTACAGGTGTGAAGCCAGCACCAATCACAGATTCACAGACACCAAATGAATTTTAAAATAAAACTACTAAATCTGTCACACCAGTAAAGCTATATCATTACCTCCTCCATTAACTTGCTAGAACATCATTGACATATTTGACTGCACTCAGATACTACCATGTTGGACACATTAATTACCTTAATTGATTGAGGAATGCACCTACTAATGCCTTGTCTTCATGGATGATGGCAGGGACAGAAGAGAAACCTGCAGTGTTAATCAAGCTGTAGAACTTGAACAGCAGAGGAAATGCAAAATACTCAGATAAGCACTTGGTAGGGAGATTGCGTGTCTGGATAGTCATTAGTATTACTGATGAAAGCTCTATGTATTTGTTTTGTCTCTTCAGTGCGATTGACAGCCCAGGAGCGTGCTGCTTCTGTACCTTTAACTTGTTTGGTTTATTGGAAAAATCCAGCATTATATGCAAAAACACATTTGAATGCATGGGAAAGAAAGGATGCTCACTGTTGCTTTATATATAAGTGTGTATGTGTATGTATATATATATATATATATATATATATATAATATATATATATAAAAAGAGCTGGCTTATGTAAATGTATTGTTAACTGTGGTGAAAGAAGCCAAAGGGTCAAACAAACTTGCCTCAGCGTTCTGAAAGCCACTGTATTCTGTGACCTCCACCATCTGATGGGTGCACCTGCTGGGAAGCTCCAGTCCAAGAGCAGTTTCCACCTAGAGAAACACCAGCAATAGGTGTGAGAGAAAAAGTGAGACTGGAATGCCACTGAACATTAGAAAGCCCAGTGTTGCAAATTAAGTTATCAGTCATGTTAAGAATCACTGTGGTTTCCTTTAAATGGTCATCTCTCTGACTGTGTCCAATGTTGGCAAAACTGGTAATGTACCACAGGTGCAACTCTGCCTCTGGTAGCAACAGTAGAAGCCGCAGAGTAGACAGGACTCAGTTTTCTACCAGTGAGCAGGGTTGGCCAGGATGGTGGGAAAAAGGACAGGTGTCGGGCTGCATTACAGCATCCACCGTTGCTACTGCTAGTTGTGAATCACAGGTTCTATTTTCACTAGTGTAGAGGGGCCTTCTTGGGGATAGGAAAGGTGGTCAACCTCATGACTTTATTATTTTTAATCTGCTTAAACAAATTGAAATGGGGCTATTTGGATGGTTTACAGCTTCCAAATGATGCAGGAGCACAGAGGTGCAAAGAGGCATTGTGAGGTTATCTGGACACTTTTATTTTTTAAACAAAAAGGAACTCTTTATTTCAAATATTTTAATTTGGCCAGTTACTTGTAACATTTAATTTGTGCTAAAGGTTATATTTTACTTTTTTTATACCTATTTCTAGTAACCTTTTGATCCTGTAGTATTTTTTGTAAGATATGAGAATTGTTTTATATCTAAAATATTAAAGGGTTTTTTGGTTTTGTACATTTTGTTTTTAAGTTGTACCCATGAGCTCCAGTACTGTTATTGGTCAATATTGCTTCTTCCGTTCAGCAGAGATCTTAGATACTGGTATAGCCCCTTAGCCATAAAATCACACCAGCCTGAAGCATAGCATAGATCAGGGGTCGGCAACGTTCGGCACGCGGCTTGCCAGGATAAGCACCCTGGCGGGCCGGGCCAGTTTTATTTACCTGCTGACGCAGCAGGTTCGGCCGATCGCAGCCCCCACTGGCCGCGGTTCGCCGTCCCGGCATAGATGATCTCATTACAGCAGTAAATTTGTGATGGATATATATATATATAAACTTTTGTTAGTTTTCTTTCTCTCCAATGGATGATCAGTTTTGCACGTTTGAAAGGTTGGTAGTTTATAATGAAAACCAGTTACCTTGGATATTTTGCTTTAGTTTTAAATAAGCAAATAAAAATGACCAAGTTGTTGAGTCACTTAACTCACTACTGGAAATTGCTCAGATGCCACAGGTGCAGTATAAGAACCTATACAGAACTGAGGAAAAAAAACCACCTGAGCATGGTAAGCAGGAGTTGCCCCCGTCAATGACTCACTGGCTAAACTTAACCTCTTTGAAACAACTACAGCCTGTTACATAGATAATTTGTGTGCTGTGGAGTCAAGTCTCCAAACCTGGCATCATCTACCTGTCTCCTACGGCTTGGCCTTGCCTGACAGCTAGTAATCCCTTCAATAGGGCTATATATACCCAAAATGTCCACAGAAGCTACATTAAAGGATTTCTCACTCTACCCTTACATAAACTCCTGGTGACTTCTTTAGAATCCCCTTCCCATTTTAAAATATAACCCTGTGTGGACTTCATATGTCCTGTTACACATCATCTATTTACAATGCCACTTTTTTTAACTCATCATAAATGTAGGGTGACAAACTGCATTTCTAGGAAATAAAAGGCAATTGCTCCTTAAAAACCAGCTTTTCCCCTACGTCATCCCCAATGTTTTATTCATGGCACAAAATCCTAGACTTGTAGCGCATGATCCTTTGCATGATTTTTACCTGAAAACAGACGATCTGATCAAATGTTGCTTACCAGAGATGGGCTGTGGGACAGTAAGCACCAGACACAGGATGTTCAAAAGGCCAGGATGGATGGTCACCTAGGTAAGGGGACAGGAGTGGTTATAGAAACTAAACTACAGATGTGAATTACTGGCATCTAATGGAAAATGTTCGCAAAATGTTTTGTGCAAGATTAGTCTGCTCGTCTATTGCTCTTTTTCATCTCTTCCACCGTCTTCTGTTTTGTTTTTACTGCTAGGGATATTTGCATGAGGACAGGCTCTGTGGGTGGTCTATTTCTGCTGCTTGTTTCTCCAGCTCAACTGCTAATTATTTTTCTAATAGAATCATTTTGGTTACTGTAGAAATAAAGTTCTAAAATAGCAGGTGCCCAGGAGGACCAACAGCAAAGGCGATTTCAGGGTCTTTCTGTTCTTAGGATATTTTTCTCATAAGATGGCTCATTTTAAGTCATTATGGAAAGATTTGTAATTTCAGGCATACAAGAGTTGATGAGGAAGCATAGTTCCAGCAGAAACCATTGCTTTGGCTTAGGATGTATTCTGCAGACTCAGTTGTGGTCTAAGAAACTATGAAATGTAAGGAACAGGATGGGAAGGAAATCCCAGTTCAATCTGATTTCCATTAGGGAATTTAATACCACAAAGCAGCCCTCTCTCTGCCTTCATAGTCTTGATATAATTGTAACGTAGCCTCTTCCCCCTTTTTAAAGATGACAACTCCACCTACACTATACTATAATGAACATGCTTCTTTATTCATCCTGCTGAAGTAGATAAACATTGGAGGGGTTCTGCCTTCTGCAGCAAAGGGACATATCTTTTATTAAGGAGCTGTTCAGAATATTAATGTTGTCATTGAATCACTCCGACTGGAAAGACAGTCTAGTTCATTTACACATGCACACTGTGTGGCAGGATGCTAATGCCCCAAAATAAACTCCAGTGATTGATCGTTATGCTGTGACTTGGTGAGTCTCACTATCTCCTTATGGAAGCCTGTTTCTGTTACTCAATTGACTGTGTGATTAGAAGCTTTTTTTCCTGACGTACCTAAGCTGCATCATAAAGCCATAACTGCTCATCTTACCTTTAAGAACAACTGTCCCTGACTGCCTTTAAAATACCCCTTTCTATCTCTGTAAACCACTCGTGTTCCACTTTCTTCCCTGGATCCTTCAGGGCTGATCCTGCAATGGTATTTTGTCTGTACAAAGACTGCAGGATTGGCCTCTCTGTTGTTGTGATAACTGTCCCTTCCTTTGATTTCCCAAAGATGCTCACTCTATGCACGGGGGCCTTTTATGCAAAATAAAATAAAAACCAACAACCTTGAGTGGGGATGTATGTGTATATTTCCAATATATATGTGATATTCCATTATATCGATGTCAGCATTCCAACCACAAATAAAGTGCCTACTTGGACTCGAGCTTGGCTTTCCTCCGAGTGGATCATTCTGATTTGTGTGGCTAATCCTTAGCCAGATTACACGGTCATGACAAATAGTCAACTGAAATCTCTTCACTACTTTCATTTCTCCTCTTTCTGATAAGGTAGGTGAACAAATCAGCATTGCTGTCATAACAGAGTAACATTCTACCACATGCAGAAGGGTGTTTGACTGAATTCCGCCAAATGTCCAGATTTTCACTGTGGGAAAGGGAGGACACAGCAAGCTCAAAGCCTGGACCAAAGAAAATTCAGTAGAGAGAGAATCAGACTCCCTGTCCCTAACTAAACAGGTCATTTTAGGGAATCCCTCCACCATTGGTCCAACACTGATGCTAGCAACACAGGGAGCATTTGTGTGGATGAGCTTCTTTGTGTCTTTACCAATGAGTAGTCCAGACTGCTGAGGTAGATGACAGTGATAAAAATGCCGTCTAGCAGTCTACATATTACACCCTTTATCTAGCTGGCATGGCTAAAAATAGTAAAGATGCAGTGGCATGGGATGTACAAGCCCACTTGGGATCTTGATTACATTATGTTGCTAGCCTGCATTGAGACTTTGCTATTATTTTGAGTTGTGCTAGCTAGGTTAAAGCTAGTACAGGTATGCCTACCTGAGCTACAATCACACCTCTGACTGCACTGTAGACATACCCTGAGTCTGGATCAAAGACTGGGACTCCAAAGTTGCTAATAGCCATCACTGGCTGTTGTTTCTTGACATTTTAAGGAGACATTAGCACTCATCTCCAGGAACTTAGGTCACTCAGCTACTTATCAAAATCATCCTAAAGAGTTACAAATAAATCTCGGCAAATTTCTAGACACTTCCACAATATTTTCCACAAATGGTGCAACATTTTCTTCTCCCCTACAGTTACAGCCTCCCTTTCACTTTGATACTTTGACTTAGCAAATGCAAAGAAACCAAATCAAAAATTCTCCTACCGTAGCACCACTGTAACCAAAAGGCACTTACTACCACCTTCTCCATATGCGCTACTCTGGTAAAACCTCAGATCTCTTCTCTCAGTTGTGTTCCCCAAACAAAGGCTGTTCAGTGGGTCACCCATCCATCCAAAATCAAACATTTTCTGACTCTTCCTTACACTGAAGAGTTCTCAGCAACAGTAGATAGCAGGATCCTGTTTTGTTGACTGCATCTAAACAAGACAATGGATGGAGAAAATCATAAGTGCACTTAGACCAACCAGGATAATAGTGTGCAGGTGCTGTGTCTGTCTGCACTCTAAAATTAGCAAGTAACACAAATGTAAGTTATTAGAAATAGCTATGCAGCTACTTCAGTGTCATGGGGTCTCAAATAAACTAGGGTGACCAGATGTCCTGATTTTATAGGGACAGTCCCGATTTTTGGGTCTTTTTCTTATACAGGCTCCTATTACCCCCCACCCCATCCTGATTTTTCACATTTGCTGTCTGGTCACCCTACAAATCAACTGAATTCTTCAGAGAGTAATATCAATGGAACAGCACATTCAAAGTTTGCTTTAGCAAGGGATGTGCTGTTGTAGTTATTATTTATGTGCATTGTCAACTTGCCAACAGTCTGAAACCTTCTCCAAGTGAAATGTACAGAATTTTAAAAGCCACAATGCACCCAAGCATAATATTGGCTCTTGCTTGGAAGCTGACTTGAAATGGCTTGTTTGGCGAGTTCACAAGACTAGCAAAGCAGGGACTTGATCCTGCAATCCTCACATGACTTTGATGGACTGAGTAAGCAGTGCAGAACTGGTCACCTGTCCACCTTCAAGTCTGAGGCAAAGAGCACTCACAGACTGCATTTGTTCACGGGTGGACCCCCATCTGTGGGCAGCGCTGGAGAAGGATGCTACCACTTCTCCCCTCCTGCCCAAGTCTGACCCTGAAGGATGGAGAATGGTAACAAGACAGGGAGAGGAGAGAGCATTGGAGAAATTGGCAAGTGTTCCCATATTTCCAGCTTGGAAATACAGTCATCCAGGCTCAAAGGGCAGGGGGGCCTGAGTCCTATCAGGTGAGTCTTCCGCATTGTGCTGAGGGTAAGAGCCTCACACATGCATGCACACAAATGCAGGGAATGAGAAGATCTGAGCCCTTCCATACCCCACCTCATAACAGGTGTGAGGTGAGCAGCCAGACAGTGATTCTTCCCATGCTCCCTTCATGATAGGATGGACAAGTGCCGCCAGGCTCCCCACAATCCTTTCTGCTCACAGCTCATGCTTCAGGCAGTCACCTGCGGGGGTCAGGAAGAGATTCCCCAACCCCCCCTCATCTATTCTGTATTTGTATTTTGTTTGTTTCCTTCCTCAGAAACATCAGCGATGGCTACAGCTGGCTGGTTCTTGTTCACATCATGCTCAGAATGTGAGTGCTAGATGCAGATTTGGGAAGAATTTTCCCCCAGGTCAGGTCGGCAGTGACCTTTGTGGTTTTTTTTTGCCTTCCTCTGTGGCTTGGGG